CTGTGGAGGAAGTAATTTTGCAAACTGATGTAATTTGTCATAGTGATCAACCTACTACTTCTACATCAAATCACGGTTCAGAAATCCCGGCTCAGGACATCAATGACCTCGTTGAAACGACAGATTCTTTGGCTACTTTGTCTGATCATTTGATTACTGCCAATGCAACTATTCCTGGACCACAGGAACAAAAAAACCCTCCAGTGGTGGAGGAGGAAGCCGTTTTGATTTCTGTAAGTTCAACATTTCCTTCTGGATTGGAACAAGTTGAGGAGAGGTCAATGAATGAGGACGAATTTGTTAGGTCTGAACAAGATATTGTTGAGCTCTCAAGTGTTAAATCACACACAGAGAGTGAATCCCTGCAAGACCTGGGGATAAAAATAGCTTCTTCAGGTTCTAGTACTCCTAATATGGCTCCTGAAGTTATTTCATCTGTTACTGAATTAGAGCAGTCCTGGTCAGACAAGTCAATGGTCGAGCCTATTCTTGGTAACCGTGAAGATGTTGAGGTCAGTGCTGCTAGATTCGTTATCTTTTGCTTACTTTTTTGAGTTGATGGTTCTCTTCTTGCTACGACATCAATGATCTTGAAAAGATCCAATCCATAGAGGTACTCATAAATCATAATGTAGTGTCCATCATGGATTAGATGTTAACTAAACTCCATAAATAATTATTACATTCGTCGTCGTGGCCTTTGGATAACCATATCTGCATGCGGTCTAGTTTTCCTAAGATCTAACATAGCATTGTATTTCCCTTTTAACTGATCTGAGTATGAAAATTTCTTTTATCATGTTATTTAATGAATTGATTGTGGCTTTATGAGAGAAGATTATGATGATCATATTATGTATTTAGTGAAGTAAAATGATGGTATCAAGCTGATATCTTGCAGGAACAAGGCGTTTTATCGATAGATTCTGCTGCTGAAGTAATCTCTGAAAATGTAACACCAAAAGTTCATCAAGACATTTCAACAGCTTTATCTTCTGTTGAAGCTGATTCGTCCACATGTTCACCAGTTAGATCACCTAATACTGGTAGGAATCCAAAAGATGATATTGTTGATTTAGTCGTATCTGAGGATCGTGAGGAGGTATCGAAGCATTTGGACTATCTAGCAGAAACACATGGTTCTCGTTTTTCGGAAAAGATGATTAGGGAAGAGGTAAATGAAATAACAGATATTGATGAAGGATTGTTAGTAGAATTGGACGAAGTTGGGGATTTCAGCGGGAAGAAGGTTGGGGAACCAATCCTTGAAGAAAAGGTACTCCCAGAGGAAGCTCAAGCAGAGAGATTTGAATTGGGTTCTAATTCCAATCCGACAGAAGCTAAATCAGATATACCAATGCTTGAAGCGAAATCACTTTATGATATCAACTTAGCTTTTAGGCAACTCCACGAAGGAGTAGACGTGGAGGATGTCATTCTTCCCAGTGCGATTGAAAGCGAAAGCCAGATTAATGAACTCAATCCTGAAGCAAGTTCGGATTTGGAGGTTGTGGAAGCGAGATCTCTCGGAGATATTCATGATGCTTTGACGCAAGTATCAAAGAATAACATGGATGAATCAAGTTCTAGCACCAAGAACTTAGAAGCTAAATCAGATATTCCAATGCTTGAAGCAAAATCTCTTGATGATATCAACTTAGCTTTTAGGCAACTTCACGAAGGAGTCGGTGTTGAGAATGTCATTCTTCCCAGTGCGATCGAAAGCCAGATTAATGAACTCAATCCCGAAGCAAGTTCGGATTTGGAGGTTGTGGAAGCGAGATCTCTCGGAGATATTCATGATGCTTTGACGCAAGTATCAAAGAATAACATGGATGAATCAAGTTCTAGCACCAAGAACTTAGAAGCTAAATCAGATATTCCAATGCTTGAAGCAAAATCTCTTGATGATATCAACTTAGCTTTTAGGCAACTTCACGAAGGAGTCAGTGTTGAGGATGTCATTCTTCCCAGTGCGATCGAAAGCCAGATTAATGAACTCAATCCCGAAGCAAGTTCGGATTTGGAGGTTGTGGAAGTGAGTTCTCTCGGAGATATTCATGATGCTTTGACGCAAGTATCAAAGAATAGCATTGGTGAATCAAGTTCTAGTTCCAACAACTTAGAAACAAAATCAGATATACCAATGCTTGAAGCAAAATTACTTGATGATACCAACTTAGCGTTTAGGCAACTTCACGAAGGAGTAGACGTGGAGGACGTCATTCTTCCCAGTGCGGTTAAAAGCCAAGTTACGGAAGAAGCCATTCCAGAAAAGAGTTCAGATTTGGAAGTCGTCGAAGCAAGATCTTTGGGAGATATCCATGTTGCTTCGATGCAACTCTCAGAGAATAACATAGGTGAATCAGGTTCTAGTTCCAATCCCACTGAAACTAAATCAGATATACCAATTCTTGAAGCAAGATCACTAGATGATATCAACTTAGCTTCTAGGCAACTCCATGAAGCAGTAGATGTGGAGGATGTCATCCTTCCCAGCACGGTCGAAAACCAGGTTAAAGAAGAAGCCAAAGCCGAAACAAGTTCAGATTTGGAAGTTGTTGAAGCAAAATCACTAGGAGATATTCATGCTACCTTGATGGAAGCCTCAGAGAAAAACTTGAACGAACTTCCAACGAGCTCCGTGTCAAATGATCCATCAGAGGGAGGATTAGTGTCAAATGATCCATCAGAGGGAGGATTAGAACCATATGGAGCGGATTCCAACATTGAGACTGTCCCATCGAACACGACTAACGTCGACAAACCAGCAGATATAGTTGACGAAAAATCCGTAGATTCCAATGTATCTGCTTCCAAAACCAAAGACAAGAAGGCAAAGTCTCGAAAATCAAAATCAGGATCTAGCTCCAGCTCCAGCTCAAGCTCAAGTGATTCTGATTGAGCTGTGGTAATCATAAGAGGTACAAGTAATAGAATCATATGGGAGTTTTCTTGTGTTTTTCCTCTTCATTTCAGGATTTGGGTTTGGTTTTCCAGTTTGATTACATTCTTTTTCCACTCTGCAATCTTTTGAAAAGTGAGTCGCGGTTTGATTTCTTTCAATTGAGCACGTTCCTACGATCCCTATCCCCCCTTAAAAGAGTTGAAGTTTGAGGGAGAAAATGTGGTTTTTTCTTTTTTTTTCTTCTTTTTTGTATAAACATGTATGTAAAAGTTTTGGTGTATTGATGAATTGACAATTATTACTTTAGTTTTTCAAGATTCTATTTGAGTTTGGTGTTATGACAGTGGATTTTGTGGTAAGAATTAGGAAGTGTTTCTTTTTTTCTTTGAATTGTTGGGGTACAGATTCTTGCCTTGGTTGAATTAGCTTGTAGTCGATTCCAGAATCGTTACGGTTTCGCATGTTAGATCGATTTAGATTTGACGTATCTGCCCATTTGATTAGTTTTTGTTCATCATTGTCTTCTTCTTCTTATCTTCTTATTCATTGGGTTTTAGGTTGAGATTCAGGGTGTTCTTGATGCTTGATTGTTGTCTCAGGAAATCTTTTACATTATATTTGATCAATTCAATTATTGAAATAGACAAGAAAAGATTGTATCAATGATACTGTTTGCTTTCAAAGTACCTTCTTAAATTTATGAATCAAGATTTTAGACGGAAGAAATAGTATCACTTAATTTATGCGTTTTGATTTCTAAACTTTTAGATTTGTATCTATTTGTTCCCTAAACGTTAAAAACTATTTAAATTTTGTATCGTAAAAACCTCTAAATCATTGAAGAAAACTTTTAATTCATGAGCCTTGACAGGTCATTTACCTATTTGATATAATAGACGTGGCGTGACCTTTTAACAACTTCAAACCCCTAAAATCGATCTTTTCTTCTTTCTCTTTCTAAACTTGTGATGCCGATAAAATTCTCTTTGAGTTACGAAGAATGCATCAACGTTAAATCACGGTCTTGACTCCAATTCTTTCGTATCAATTTCGTAATCTTTGAGCCCCCTCGGGTACGCATCATTGTTGAGGTCGAAAAATGCAAATACATACAAATATGTTATATGTGAAGACTTTCCTTTCATAACGTTCTTTTGTTGGCCATATTGTCAAATCGTGACCATATCGCCACTAAAATGTAGGGGCATATCACCACTAAGTTTGTAAAAAACATAGTTATGGTCATATCATCATGAAAAACATCAGAGTCATATCGTCACATCCTCACATTCTTTTAATATTATGGCTCATAAACATATGCATGAGGTCTCATAAAATACGATTATCTAATACAACTCGTGACATACCATTATGACTATTCATTTAATGTTGTCATTTCTTTCGGGACTACCATTCCTAAAAGTATGACCCATATTATATCACCATATCATAACATGAATCATACACATGCATCATCAACATCAAAATTCTATTAGAATCTCATGGTCATAACTCATATCAAGTCTTCCGATCTAGCTTATAACGTGCAACCGTACGATTTTTCCGATCTAAATAAAGCAGGTTTTACATGAAGAAGATTTGGCTTAGCATGTTCTATTCGGGTAGGAAAAGAGCTCAATTCGTATTATTAAAAAAAAATAGAGTAATCAGAACTCAGTCAAGATGATACGGATCAACCCCTTCTTCTTGTACATAAGATCTTACCATTTCCGAAGGAACTGGTTCACTTACCTCTATCGCCATCCGGGAGGTCTAACCCATATCATACACATCACAATGCATACATAATATCATACATTCCAACATACAATGACAAGTCTTCCGATCTAGCTTATAGCATCCATTAAGAGGTTCACTTACCTCAATCTCAATCCATTTTCCACTATGTACATGATCTACAGCTATCCGAGCACCTCACATACTTTAACGACCTTCCAAGTCACTCACAATCATAATTCTTCCGTTAAGTAGCATAATCGTGTAGGTTTCGTGTTAAAAGCCAATTAGTTTTGGACCCATTACAAATTAAGAACCTTAAACTTGTCATTAACATTGTAAGACCAAATTTAGTGGTAACAAAAAACATGGTTATTTGTTTTATATAAAGTCAAACAAAAGAGTGGTAGTGGGAGTGGGAAGCAAAGAATAGTATTTATCTATCTGCATTGCATCTTCTTGAAGTACCTAACAGAAAGAATCCTATTGAGCAAAGTCTTCAACCTCCTAGACCCTTGTCCAGGCTTCAACACACCATAGTTCTCTTCTTCAAAACCCGAGCAAGACCCAGTCCCGAACAGGTTATTCCCGGAACACCACCCGCCGTAGGAAAACAAGGCACGATGACGTCTGTTGAGGATGTCGCGGTCGATTTTGTCCAACACGCGATCGTTGTCCTTGAACTTTCGGGCAAAGGGGCGGTTGCTGGTGAGCATCTTCTTGTAGTGTGGGAGGCCGAGATAGCGGGGGTGTTGGCGGGGAGGCGTGTCCCAAGCAATGTAGTGAAGATCGTGGTTGACGGTGGTGTTTCGGTAGTGATCGGAGTTGCAGATTAGGGTCTGGAAGTATCCCTCCGGAGAGGAAACGAAGTTGGTGTAGTAAAGGAGGAGAGTTCTTGGAAGATTGTCCCAACCCACAATGCAATACTCTGCAAATGATCTTGATAGTATTGTCCATGCTGAACCTGCCAGTAATTAAATCAATTTTTTAAATAAATCCCTAACATATTTAATATTAGACGTAATTAAATATTATAAAACACAAATTTATATATTTTCTACTGTTTACTGACCAATTAACAGTTTAAGAAATTATTATAAGTATTTTTAAAATTACAAAATTAGCCTTTCAACTTCCAAATTTAGTACTTTTTTAAAATTTATATATGAGACACCAAATTATAATTTTAAATGGTAAATTTATATTTTAAAAGATTTAAATTTGTTAGATATTTATTAGATATAAAATTAAAAGTTTAAAAAGATTTATGGAATGATTTATCAAATTTTTTTAAAAATTTAAGGCTAAATTTGTAATATAACTAAAAATCAAGGACTAAACTTGTAATATTCATAAAAATTAGGGACTAAACTTGTAATTAAATCGGAACGGGATGGTAGGTCGGAGTGATGGAATGTCCAAACTCCTATAGATAACTCCCTTTTACCAATACCCATATCTCTATTTTCTAAATCACCTTTAAATCAAAGTGGAAAATGACATTCCAATTCCACACCAAACGACTTCGTTTTATTTGGTTTGGTTAGGGAACCGCTTCTTTTAAAAAAAATTAATTTTGTTCGATTGAATCCTAAACTCACTCGCTAAATAGGGGTAAAAATGTAATATCCCACACAAACTAACACAGGCTTTTTCAACATGCTGTTAGAATTTACGGGTCTCCACATTGGTATGATATAGTCCACTTTGAGCATAAGCTCTCGTGGCCTTGCTTTGGGCTTCCCCAAAATGCCTCAACCCAGGATCATTCCCTAAATTAGCCAATGTAGGACTACCTCCCAACAATCCACCCCTTAAACAAAGTACACTATAGAGCCTCCCCGACTCCTTTCTCTAGAGCCCTCAAACAAAGTACACCCTTTGTTCGACAATTGAGTCACTTTTGACTCCACTTTCGAGGCTAGCAATTTCTTTGTTCGATATTTGCGGATTCTATTGACATGCCTAAGTTAAGGGCATGACTCTAATACCATATTAAAAATCATGGATCTCTACAATGGTATGATATTGTCCACTGTGAGAATATGCTCTCATGACAAACTAACATAAGCTTTTTCAACATGTTTAACTTACGGGAACAATGACTATCCCCACAAACCAACACACGCTTTTTCAACAGACTTAACTTACAGAGTTGTTGTGATTGAGCCACCGAAAAGGAAGGTGCATTCTTTTCTAGAGTTCATGCGACTCAATTCGATATGAGTTCCTGTGCTTAGTACCCACCAAAAAGGAAGGTGCATCTTTCTCTTCACTCGAGTGTCACATAAAACAACGTTTTCCTTTTCTTTACCTTTCTTTCCTTATAAGAATACTACTTAATCGAGGTCATAAGCTCAAATTGAATCGAATCAAGCAAGCAACATAGTTATTTAAACAAGAATGTCTATTCCCTAGGCAAATCATAACTTAACTAGCTCACGTGATAATCCTAATTTAAAAGTTAGGATCCTTCAAAACCCTCACATGGTCACTAATTAACAATTATATCCAGAAAGAATCAAAGTTAACAGACCTGTGTAGAGCTTGAATGCAGTGGGGAGAGTCCTTTGCTTGATAACCCACCAAATCTCTGATTTGTTCATGCTGTAAAGCGCTGGATCTATCATGATAGGCTTCCCTCTTTTATTCCTGAATTCACAATTTCCAAACCAAAAAATGTAAACAAAACAATAAGAACATCATCAAATTTGGGGAAAACAATGGATTCTTACAGCTTCCAACCCAGACGGCTTGAATGTTGAATGAAATTCAGATCTCTCGGCAAATCGGAGAAGGCATCAATCAGATCTGAAAACCACATCAATGAATTTATATGAACAAATCATCCAATTCCAACAAAACCCAAAAAGGAAATCCACCAAAAACCACATCAATGAATTTATAAATGAACGAATCATCCAATTCCAACAAAACCCATTAAAGAAATCGACCAAAAACCACATCAAATTTCACTCACCATACCATCTTGAGTAAGCAGGGGATAATCAGAGGCGCTCAAATTGATGAACCAATCCCATTTGCAAGTTCTCAAAAGAATCGCCATGGAATGCAGAGTGGTAGCAAGCATGGTGGGTCCTCTGTAAGTGACCAAGTTAGGTTTTCCGACCATCCAAACATTCCCTACTCGTCGGAAAACGGGATTCTGAGTCAGGAACTCGGCGATCTCGCGGTGGTGTGAGGCGGAGGCTCCCTGATCCATGTGGATGAGGTAGTGGTTTCCGGGGTGGTAGATGGCAGACAAGAGGCGTTTGAGGCGCCTGGCATCGCCGTCGGAGGCGGAGATCAGGTATGCAAAGGAAACTGGATAGGAGAGATTTGATTTGGGGGAGTATAGGGAGTTGATTGGGGGAGTAATGGCGGCGATGGGTTTGGTTAATTTTGTTTGGATGAAGAAAAAAGAGAGGAGAGTGGATGTTAGAAGGAAGGAGATTGTGAGAAGCTTGAGACTCATTTTCCCGAGAAAATGGGTGAGAAAATGTGCGAGAAAATTTTGAGTTCAGAAAGAAAATGAAGAAGACGAAGAAGGCATTAATGGAGAAATGGGGGAAAAGGGTTTGGAAGTGTGTGATGAATATGGGGTTCCTTGCTTTGAAGGTAAGGGAAGGGAAGGGAATTTGTTCTCTTTTTTTAAACCCATTCAAATAAATTACAAAATTAGTATTAAATATATTAATTATAAATCTTACCATAAATAAAAAAATATACTTAAAAGAAAATGCAAATCTATCATATACATGTGTCACGGTCTCAAGGTTGCGATGTCTCTGTCAGCCTTACCGGTGCACATTACCTTGAAAAATGTAGTAGCACGAGGCTTGAGTATTTTTAAAATACTTCGTAAGTGACCCTTTATCGAGGTTATAATGCAGGAACATGTGAATGCAATGATAGGATTTATCATAACCGTCTATTTTCACTATCCTAATGATTAGCTCGGATATGTAATTCATTTCCTACACATGGCTCGCGTGTGAATATGATCCCACCAGTCAGTTTGCATACCGCTGGACCTCTTTCCTTCTTGGACGAGCATATTTTGGGAGCTCTCTAGGGTGGGCACCCGCTAGAAGTAGTCGTCATTATAGTAGCATTATGTAAAATATAATAGTCGTTCTCCTTCCTAGTAGTGTACCACATTGACTAATTTAGGGAATGATCATGAATTTATAAGTAAGGAATATATCTCTATCGATACGAGGCTTGAATTGAATTAAAGCACGTGATTCCCACGTGGTTATTTAATTTATGTCGGTGATTTATAATGGGCCCCATTGGTATGGATGGCCCAAGTATCTAAATTCCGAAAATGGGCCTGAATTTCCTCCTCATTAGTTTGTTTAAAAGGGCAATGTAGAGATTTTGGGTTGGATCACTCCATTTATCCACTCATTCTCTGAAATACGTCCGTACATTTATTAAATTTTTGTTATTTAATTTCATAATTATATTTTTATTATTTATTTAATTATTTGGAAGTAATTTTTTAAAATATATATTTAAAATGAGTAATAAACCTTAATTAATTTTTTATTTATTTAAAAATAAATAAATAAATAAATGTTTAAACAATTAGGTTATAATTATATGAAAATTTTATAGATTTAGTTGATTTATGAATTTTTCTAAAATTATATTGGCACTGCCAGCGGGGACGCTAGGTCTCAAAGGGGTAGTAGATTGTGAAATCTCACATCTAATGGGGAGGAACGAAGTATTTTTTTTACAAGAGTGTGTAAACATCTCCCTAGCAGACGCGTTTTAAAAACCTTGAGAAAAAGCCCAAAGAAAATAGTATTTATTAGCCGTGAGTTTGAACTCTTATAGTTTGTGACTGAGTAACTCCGTAACACGTGGAATAAACTTGTAAAGGTGACTAAGTCGAGCTTCATTCTTGCATATATCAACCTGTCAAACAAATGCTCAGTGTTACTCATCAACCCATATCCAAAAATTATTCTATTCAAACTTTCGACATTTAACAAACAACTTACGTGAAGCTTGTAAGAGTCGAGATTCATTATAATTAGGTCATTTTCATTGGTAGTTATAGAAATGGATCACACCTAGTCAACCAATGATTTATTATTATGATTGGAAGGACAAGTCAATGTAACAAATCAACTATTTATGAATTTAAATATGGTTGATGTGTAATCTAGACCATATGGTAGTTGTATTATATAGATAATTGTGAATGTTTGATTAATCCACCACACCTAAATGGTGTGAAAGTTATCTTATTTATAATCAAATAAATTACAAAGATATGGAAATAGTAATAAATGGAAATAACAATAAATGGAAAGATACCTATGATAATAAGGCAAATATTAGATATTTGCTTGTAATAAAATATCAAATATAATATATATGGTAAACTATAATTTATTATTAAATATCCTTAACACCCCACCGCAAGCTAAGCGTTGGATTTAAACGAACGTGAAGCTTGAATCTGAAAAATTCAAAGAGGTTGAGAAACACTTTTCATGAAGATACTAACAACCCGGTTCTTGGCCATAAAAAATTGCAGAGGGATCGCCGCTCAGCGGCGATGCTGCCTTGGCTTCGGCGAGAATATGTCTAACCCATGAAGAGGGATTGTCGCTTAGCGACGATGCTGCCTTGGCTCTGGTGAGAATATTTCTAACCCCAAGAAGTAGAAGGGGAAACCTAGAGCAAGGGACAAAGACAATGTTGAAGCCGGAAGAGTCGCCACATTGGGCGAAGGAGCCAATTTTGGCGAGAAGGGCAGTCAGAAGAGTCGCCTCATCGGGCGAAGAAGCCAATTTTGGCAGGAAGGGCGGCGGCAACTTGGTTGGCGAATAGGCCAGTGCGGCACCCAGATTCCGAAGGTAAATCTCTACAAAAGGTTGATAGGTTTAGGTTAGGGTTTATGTGAAGGATGAAGGTTGATTGGGAAGAAAATGAGAGATACTATATTGGCCAAGGGGAAAACCGATTTGGTTGGAAAAGGTGAGGTTGTATGTACAGAGTATGACGAAAGGTGATTTGGAGGTCAATAGGGTGGAGTCGAAGAGTAATCAATCGGCTCCGACTACGACAGCCATGAAGACTGCCCCTGCGGCGTCAAAACCAGCAGGGGTGGTGGAGAAGAAGATTAGAGGATTCAAAAGCCATTGAAAAGAAAGGATCGGGGTTGTTAAACCGAGAGGGCTCTGATTCCATGTGAATGTTTGATTAATCCACCACACCTAAATGGTGTGAAAGTTATCTTATTTATAATCAAATAAATTACAAAGATATGGAAATAGTAATAAATGGAAATAGTAATAAATGGAAATAACAATAAATGGAAAGATACCTATGATAATAAGGCAAATATTAGATATTTGCTTGTAATAAAATATCAAATATAATATATATGGTAAACTATAATTTATTATTAAATATCCTTAACAATAATTATTTAATCAATTAAACACGTATATAAATTAATTAATTTTTAAACGGAGTTCGGTTTCAACTCTATAATTTTAGAGAAACCCATTAAAGTTTTCATTTATTTAAACTCTACACAAATAACTTTATAACCTAATTGTTCGGGTTGTAATTTTTTTCAACTCAAATAACTCTTATTAAATAATGAATCTAATCATAATTTTTTTGGTTCGATTGGTTCAGGGTGTTCGGTCATAGTTTTTATGGTATGATCTATGAAGGTTTATGCATCATAAATTATAGATTCTACAACTTTATATATGTCATAACTATAAAATAACATAGTTTTATCATATGACATAACTTATCGTAGCATAACGTGTCATAACATGGCATAACATAACATAGTATAACATCAAACAACATAACATATCTTAACATATCATGCATATATATGACACGTGCAAGGGCTATGAGGCAAACATCATCATACATAATACAATCCATCAAACAAAGCCAATAGTCGAGTCACTTAATTGGTTAGTTTAGTGGTTTGTAACAACTCAAGCTCACTGCTAGTAGATATTGTCCGTTTTAGCCCGTTACATATCGTTGTCAGCCTCATGGTTTTAAAGCGCGTCTGCTAGGAAGAGGTTTCCACGTCCTTATAAAGAATTCTTTGTTCTCCTCTTAACCAATGTGGGATCTCACAATCTACCTCCCCCCCCAGTCCTCGCTGGCATATCGCTCGGTGTCTAGCTCTGATACATTTGTAACAGCTCAAATCCACCTCTAGCAGATATTATTCGCTTTGGCCCGTTATAAATGGTAATCTAGCCAGACACCGAGCGGTGTGCCAACGAGAACACTGGACCCCCAAAGGAGATGGATTGTGAGATCCCACATTGGTTGGAGAGGGGAATGAAGTATTCCGTGTAAGGGTGTAGAAACCTCTCTATAGCATACGCATTTTAAAAACTAGAAAAAAAGCCCAAAAGGGAAAGCCTAACAATATTGGTTAGTAGTGGATGTGGACTTGGGCGCGGTTACAAATAGTCGTTGAAATTTAATTCTAGAGCCCCATAATCATAATTGACTCACCTAATTTGACATAAAATAATTTAAACTAACTAAAAAGTAGTTATACTAACCTTAAATGCTTCCAACTAGTTGAAACTAAGAGGAAGAGTCGGAGCAACAAATAATCTAAACTAGCTAAAAAGTACCTGCTAACCTTAAATGCATTCAACTAGTTAAAACTAAGAGGTCAATTGAAAAAATCAAACTAAAAAAGTATTTAAATCATAGTATGATTAATCTATGAACCCATTTGACATCTAAGAGGGAAGAGTCCGAGCATATCAAACCCAAGCTAGATTAATAATTGGAAGAGTCCGAGCGTATCAAACCCAAGCTAGATTAATAATTGGAGTTGGGGTAACTCTAGATTAAAAGGTATAATGCTAAGGACATTTTAATTTACGACTCAAATTTGTTCCGTGAGAGTTTCTAACATTCTAAAGTTCGGAGAAGCATATTTTCATAAAGGTAAAAAAAAAAGCCATAAGAACCTAATTCATTTTATAAAGTTATTTCCATTTATTTCAAACAACTTTATCAATTCCAAAACAATATAACTATTAAATTGTTCGGTTTCGCGTTTCGGGTTAGGAAAACGAAACCAAGCCTAACCAATTTGCCTACTTTATTTTTGTGCTTTTGGGAAGAGGTCTAACAGTAAGACATGAAAAGCATGAAACTTTCCAGCTTTAGAAGCGATTGCGTTAACTCGACTAACCTGGCTGCCACATGTCGTTTGTGGATTTGACTGTCATGCTTTCTCCCTCACAGTCCCTCCAATCTTATCTGTGAAGCTAATTCATATAAAAAAAAGTATATATAGTAAACAAAAACGTTGACAAAGTCTCTAACTTGCAAAGCAATCATTCATTTATAATCATTAACAATGAAGAAAAACTTTTAGATTATTGGAACTTGGAAGGGCAAAACTGTAATTTGGTTCTTTGTATAAAAAAAGCAAAAGGGTTGAAAAACACATAGGATTCTTAAATAAATAACTAAAGAGAAGAGAAGAGAAGAGAAGAAAAGAAAAAGGTTTTAGCTAACTTGTTCAACTTTGAGTTCATTGAGAAAATGAAACACAAAAAGAAAAAGAAAAAGGATAACAGAAAGC